CAGGGGACACGGGGGACCCTCGGTGCAGGACGGTGGCCACAGGCCAGCTCACGTCTGCTCCTTTCTCTTTCAGAGTTCAACCAGGCAGTCCAGGGTTGTGGAAATATGACAGACAAAGGCAGTCAGGATCAGCTGCTGTTTCTCTTTCCAGAGTTCAATCAGCAGAACCAGGGGGCTGCCCAGCTCGACGACGCCTGCTCCGAAACGCCCAGCAAGAAGATGCGGCGCAATCGGTTCAAGTGGGGGCCGGCCTCCCAGCAAATCTTGTACCAAGCCTACGAGCGCCAGAAGAACCCCAGCAAGGAGGAGAGGGAGACCCTGGTGGAGGAGTGCAACAGGTAATGGCTGCCCCACGCACCTGGGCTGCCTCCCCTGCCCACAGCCTCAGCCTTGCTTCAGAAAGCCACGGGAGATGCTACAGGAGATGCTGCAGGAGATGCTGCAGGAGATGCCGTGGGAGATGCCATGCTCCAGGCTCACCACCCCAGCTCCCGGCTCGTGGCACAGCTTTGCCAAGCTGCCAGGCCTCTCCTTGCCATGTTTTCCCCCTCTGGGTGATGTCTGGGGCAGAGTGAGCTCCATGCTTGGGCAGGGGTGTGATGGGGATGCTGCAGGGATGGTACAGGGGGTACCACAGGGATGCTGCAGCATTGCCAGAGGGAGCGGGGATGGCGTTTACAGCATGGCTGGGTGGGCTTGCAGGAAGGGCTGAAACTCCCCCACATTTGTGGTGTGCCAAGCCCCCTGCTTGCCCCCAGCAGCCCCCTTGCTCACACGTGTCCCTTGCCCTGCAGGGCAGAGTGTCTGCAGCGAGGAGTGTCCCCCTCCAAGGCGCACGGGCTGGGCTCCAACCTGGTGACGGAGGTGCGGGTGTACAACTGGTTTGCCAACCGGCGCAAGGAGGAGGCGTTCCGCCAGAAACTGGCCATGGATGCCTACAGCTCAGGCCAGCCCCCGCACAGCATGAACCTGCTGCTGTCCCACGGCTCCCCCCACCACAACCAGCCCAGCGCCTCCCCGCCCAGCAAAATGCCAGGTGAGCCTTGCCCAGGGTGCCGGGGGGATGGCAGATTTTGGGGGTGCTGTGTGTGCAGGGAGAGGATGCTCAGCCTGCTCCCCACGGTGATGGAGGGCAGCTTGTGCTGTCACTGCAGCGTTGTGGCCGCGTGGTGAGGGCTGGATTTCCGCCGTGCCGGGATAAATCAGTGTTTGCTTGATTGGTTTAGCTCACGGCAGCTCAGTTCCGTGTGGGCTCGGCTGGGCAGGGAGAGGCTGTGCCCAGCAGGGCAGGAGGAGCTGCCCCGTGCCTGCCGTGGTGTGGCAGTGCCAGTTCATGGTGTGCAGCCCGCTGGGGAGGTTCTGGGGGTGCACAGCGTTGTGCCAGTGCCAGTTCATGGTGTGTAGCCCGCTGGGGAGGTTCTGGGGGTGCACAGACGATGCAGAGGGAAGGGGTGGCAGCGTGTCCTGGCCCCGCTGCACTGGGCTGGCTGCATGGCTCTGCAGCATCCCTGTGCCACAGCGGAGCGAGGAGGATGAAGAAAGCTGTAAGGGGTGCAGGGTAACCCCTCCTCCTCCTCCTCCTCACAGCCCAAAGTCCGGTCCTGCCGTGCCCAGGGCTGGGCAGAGCTGAGCAGAGCCCCCGAAAACCCCCGGGGGATTGAGTGGGAGATAACGGCATGGGGAGGGGGCTGCACGCCGGGCAGGGGCGAGAGGCATTGTTGGGAGAACAATCCCCATTGTCCCTTACCTGCAGCCTGCTATGGGCACAGGGGGCTCGGTGATGGGGGCTCAGCATCCCCACTGCCCCGCGTCCCCTCGGACACAGCCCGGGAAATGCCCCAGCCTGGTGTGACACAGACCCAGCTGTGGAAATGCCTCTGCCTGGTGTAACCCACACTCAGCTCGGCACAAGGCAAACCCGACGGAGCCCGTGCTGCGGACAGTCCCCATGGGAAGGAAGGGCAGGGTACCGGGGATGCTCCTGCACACCGGAGCTCAGTACCCGGGGATGTCCGTGCGCCGCTCTCGGCCCCGGAGGAACCGGCAGCATCCCGAGGACCGGCCAGCGGTGACCAAGATGTGACCCTGCCCCAGGAATGCCCCGCACAATGGCCGGGACGGGCGGGACGTTTGCCCTGCTGTCAGCGGCTGATTGCTTACAAGGTGCCCTACAAGCACATTGTCAGCAGCATCAGCTGTTTTCGGTGTCGCGGCGGGGCTCACAATGCCCCACCAGCATGCAGCCCCGCATTGTCACGGCGTGTCCCCCGTGCATGCTTAATTGACAATTACGGCGGGGCTTTGAACGGAGCCCGCTGCCTTTGATGTGCCCCCGGCCTGGCAGCGCACATGGGGCGCCCCCGAGAGCCTTTGTGTCCTTCGGGCAGGGGACAGCAATTACTGGGACCGCGGGCATTTATCTCGGCGCTGGAGGGCCCTTAAGGCCCCGGCTTTCTTTGGCCGTCGGAGCGGGGCCAGCAGGGGCCGGCCGTGCCTATAGGGCTCTTGTAGGGCCGCTGACAGCCCGAGCCGAGGGGCTTTCAGTGGGGCAGGACTGATGGCTGCGGAGCACGGCCCCTCCGGAGGGGTCAGCAGGGCTCCGATGTGGGGATTTCTCTGGTGCTGCGATCCGTCCTGAGG